GAAATTACTTGAGGTTGCACATATTAGTGACAGAGACAAAGGATTCATTCTGTGAATAAAAGAGTATATTTCATCTTTAACTACTTCTAACTACTGTGCAGTAAGCAGTGGGGCACAATTAAATATTTGGATTCAATTAGTTACAGTTCTTCATATTTCATTAATGCAGTTTAACACAATTTGTAGTTGTGTGTTTGTGATAGTTTTGAGGAATAAAAGTATCTAAAAGTAAGTTAGCAGAAATATATAAAAGTAAAAATAGATAATAACTCTATGGTAAGTAGAAAAATAAAAGATGTACATTGCCTGTATATGCTACCTTTCCTTCTAAAACAAAATTAGCAAATGTATTTGAAAAAAATATTTTTCAAATGTGGTTTAAGGCATCAGGCTGAAACTGGGAGAAGGTAAATTCTAGTCCTGCCTTAGGCACAAAGCCAACTGGGTAATCTTGGGCCATTCATTCTCCCCCAGCCCCAGGAAGCAGGAAATAGCAAACTACTTCTTCTGAAATCTTGCCAAAAAAACCTATATATAGTAGTATAGGCAGTTACCAGGAATTAACACCGATTCAAAGGTTAAAAAACCTAAATAAATAAAAATATAAATTGAAAAATAGGTATGTATGGACTGTGCATACTGGTGAAAGTTGACAGGGCCATGAGAAGTTCCTTCAATTAAAAAAATCCCCATATTGGAAGCATGCTACCGGTTAAATCCATGCTCCTCTGAACTGAGCAATCACAGAACAGAAAGCATACTTTGTCCTACATTTTGGGGACCTAGTAAGGATGTGGAGAAGATGGCGCCCCTGAGGTAGTACGGAAAGAGCTAATTTAGGGTTTAAAGCTAATTTAGGGTTTCCCAACTTGCTGATTTTAAGACACATATACTTCAATTTCAAGAATTCAGCTATCACCTATCTAGGTGTTCTCTAATCTAAGCAATGAAAATTGTTTCCATTCTGCTTGATATTTATTTTGCTATTTGCTTTTTTTTTTTTTCCTAAGCAGGTTTCTGTGAATCTGCCATTCTTATATAATTGGACTAATAACCACCTATTAACTCATACTGAAACTTCCTTATTCTAGCAGCCCAGGAATTACTCACGCCAATAGCTGAAATCTCTTCTTTGGCATCATAACAGATGGGTTTTTTTTTTTTACTTTAAAGAACACCAAGATAGTACGTGAACAGCAATATTTAAACATAATGAAATGGTAAGAGAAAATTAGTACAAAGGGAGCAAGCAGCCATTCAGTTTAGTTAATCAATTTTAAATTTAAACAGATAATCAGACACATTGTTTTATTGTGTAAAAGCAAGAAGAATACCAACAGTAAGAAATATAATGTGCATCTTGACTAATTTTTTTTTGAGGTTTTAATCTTTGCAAATAAGAATCATATCTTAAAACTATCTCCTATTAGTTATTGAGTCTTACAACTCAAGCTATATTTTTTCTCATACTTGTAGAAAACCTGAATGCATGCATTACATAGGAACAGCGAGTGATCTTATAGTGCATGTAATTTTCTTAGCCAGCATTGACCTGATTCTCACAGCAAAGTTGATACAACGGTAGAAATATATTGCCTGATGAGCTGCAACTCTCTAAATGTTTCTTTCCTGGTAAAAAGAGATACTGAATTACTGAGAAAATAGTATCTGTATAATTCTTCTTTTTCCAAACTTGCCTACTGGCAAAGATAATTTAGCACAAAAATTCTTAGATTTTTCCAGATTCCTTTGAAGTAGGTTCAGCGTGATTAACAGTCAGGGACATTATTAGGGTCTGGTTTTGCAGAAACAGAACGTAATCTTTCTGTTCAAGAAACTACAGAGAGCTAGTGTTTGAGCTATCTTAAAGTTGATGTATGGTGATTTTTTTTTTCTCAATGTCTAAATTATAAGAATTAATACATATAGCGTTCCCTCAGATGCCTGCCTGGTATGATAAAATTAAAATAACAATATGTAAAATTCCAAGAAGTGTATACATCCAAACCATGTAAGTGATGTAATGCAGGGAATGTTGACTACAGCTGTGTTTATGCTCTAGAGTCTATTTTATGTTATGTTCCAAGCTTGTCACACATATTTTTGAAGACAAACTTGTTGCTACTTGCTATTTTTTTTTCCCAAGCAGATGTTTATAGGGAAACGAAAGAGAAGATAACATATACTTTCTATTAATAAGCATATTATTTTAACCAATTAAATTATGTATTTATTGAATGCCAAATTCAGTTTGGTATTGAATTTGAGCATGATTCGTCATCAAAGCACCGCTGTTTCAGGGAGGCCTTGCAAATTGCCAGAGGCCCTATCCCTTAGGTAACTGGGTATGAGGCCTTGATTGTGAATAAAGTTTATTTCCCTCGTGTTGCACTACCCGAGCTGCTGGGTTGGATATGAATCTGTCCAGAAGTCTGTGGAGATTCTCAGTCATCCAGGTCAAGGTTGTCCCAAAGGTGCTTTTTCAGGAGGCAACTGGGCTTTTCTTCTTCTTTTCTTTGAAGACGTTTTGCTTCTCATCCAAGAAGTTTCTTCAGAGCTGAGTCAGAGCTGAAGAAGCTTCTTGGATGAGAAGCGAAACGTCTTCAAAGGAAAAAAAAACAACAAGAAAAGCCCAGTTGCCTCCTGAAGAAGCACCTTTGGGACAATCTGTTCAGACTTTCTGTGTTTGAGGACTTCAGTTTTGTCTTTTCGGAGGATGGGCCAGCCACAGTTTGTGGTTTCAGAGCCACCATAACAGTCACGGATTTATCCCAGGTCACCCTGGGAATAACACACAACAGAAGCCCACATTAGATCTGGTTTGTATAGGTAGTCTTCAACTTAGAACAGTTCATTTAGTGACTGTTCAAAATTACAATGGCACTGAAGTCACGTAAGTGACTTATAACTGTTTTCCACACTTACGACCAATGCTGCATCCCCGTGGTCACGTGATCAAAATTTGGAGGCTTGGCAACTGACTCATAGTTATAACAGTTTCAGTGTCCCTGGGTCATGCAATCCCCATTGCGCCCTTCTCACAAGCAAAGCCAGTGGGGAACTTAACAACCATGTTACTAATTTACTGACTGCAGTGATTCATTTAACAGCTGCGGTAAGAAAGGTCGTAAACTGGGGCAGAATTCACTTAACAACTCAATTGTGGTCGTAACTCAAAGATGACCTGTATCTCAAAGGAATTGAGGCATAGCTTTAGAGTGGAGATCTCGGCTTCATTTTTCTCTGTGCGTGTAGACAGATTATTCTCTAGCCTCTATGAAACAGGGTCACTTTCATTCAGCTCTGCTGGCCTTAGCCAGTTGCAGTGGGCTTGATTTGAACTCAGCTTCTGGTAGGATGATGCAGGCCAGTGGCACGTAGGAACTGGCAGATCCTCGTCTTGGTGTTTCCTCCGCGGTGACTTGTTCTGGTGGGTTTTTGACACTTACTTTTCTTATTTTGACAGGCCTTTGGGAATGCCAAGACAGCACACAACAACAACTCAAGTCGCTTTGGCAAATTTATTCAAGTAAATTATCAGGAGACTGGCACTGTGCGTGGGTAAGTGGCAATGAGCAGTGACTAAAGAGCTTTAGGCACGAATGGTTTGCAGCTGTTAGTAGTTTTATATGCATGATTAGAATGTAAAACATCCTGTGTAAATCTGAGCTGTAGCTGCTTGTCTGGGAAAGATGTGGGCATGTCATGTGGGATGATATAGGTATCTCTTGTTAAGGAAAGTAACTTCCTCCATTCTTTTCATTACAACTTTTCAGTCAATCACAGCGGAGATGGAAAAGATTCTGGAATATGTAGTTTTAATTAATTGATATAATAAATTACTGAGCAACTCCACTCTCCACTTAGATATTTTTCTCTAGAATTAGTAGATCATTCATAGCTGTTTGAATCTGAAACAGATGTTTTTTTCAAGACCCTTACAAAGTTATGAAAGCAAATGAAGGACCTCTAACTTAAGGTACTATGCCTTCAGATCAGAAAATAAGCTATTCTAGATTGATTCCACTAAGGCTTTATTAATTAGCCTTAAAATGGGAATTTATTACCATAATTCCCATTTTCAAAATGGAAAATAGAAGAAAATATTACACTCAGTTATATGAAGGACCAGCACAAAAATAGGTGGTTGTCTGACAATCTTCTGGAGCTATTACAGTTTAAAAGTATATTAAAACAGAAAAACTTCTGAAACAGTGAACTTATTCCGTGATACTACTTTTTAAAATATTTGGGTTTGCAGAATTTCCAGGTTTTGAAAGGCCAGTCTGATCCTTGTGCTATGTTTTCAGCCATTTAGATAGAATCTTCCAATGGCTTGATAAAAACTCTATTCTTTTGAATAAGGATGAGAAATAGAGCCAAACATTTTCACCTTTGTTCTCTGCTTCAATTTCTTTAAATCTATTGCTTTTCCTTGTCAAAAACAAGGAAACAAAAATCCTGTTTTCGTTGCTACACCTTGTGTTTTTTTTCTGCATTCACATTTAGAATTAATAAATGTGACATAAATGTGGTATTTTTCTATCACATTTTTGGCATAGTTGTTCATCTGAGGTGCCAAGAATAGCAGTAGTACCTTGATTTTGGCTCTGAGGAAGTTATATCCATCTGATCTTTTATTTAATGCAAAATATTAATGAATATTGCTATGATGTTGCAACACATAGATAAATAAAAACCCGTTTAAAAAATTTATCTTTGTTACTGAAGGATGTTTTGGGCATTCATGACACTTCTGCTTTTACAGTGCCTCAGCAAATTGCTTTTCGTTTTCTTTTTATCTGTTAAATACATTTGATGGTATCCATTTAATGGATAGTGTTATAGGTTGTAACAGCCAAGTTGGGGTAAAGGAGATATATAATTCAGTTTTATCGCTCACATCTGAGTATATCAAAAATCATATCCCATCCTTCTAATGCAAGGGTACCCTTTAGAAAATGTATCTGAACAGTTTAAGATTAGACGCTAAATTAAGAATCTAATCTGAAAGCTAAAGAATTAGAATAGCTCCGGGATGGATGCATTGCTCTAATACTGATGTGGGCAGACAACATCACCATGATGTAGTGCAGGGGTCCCCAACCTTGGCAACTTTAAGATTTGTGGACTTCAACTCCCAAAATTCTGGGAGTTGAAGTCCACAAGTCTTAAAGTTGCCAAGGTTGGGGACCTCTGATGTAGTGACTTATCCAGGTCACCATATTTTGCAGCCCAATTCAAAGGAAGCCCACATTTTGCAATATTCAGGGTATTTACATTTGTTTTGGGAAATGGGAAATGCTACCAAAAGAGAAAGTGACGGAGATGGATTCAGCTACCCTTGTGTACAGGATTGTTTCATCCCTTGTATGAATTAGGGCCTCCCCGCCAATGCAACATTCTTCCCATACAATGCTTTGCCATTCCTTTTTCTTCTAGAGCTTACGTTGAAAAGTATCTACTAGAAAAGTCCAGACTAGTCTATCAGGAACATAATGAAAGGTAAGTGACGAAAGAAATAACACACATAAGCTATTGGAACAAATAAAGGAAGATAAATCAAAACAACTATTAGAATTTCAGAGTTTAATTATTTCACTGGGTTATAAACTGTGCGTGCCTGTTTTTCACATTTTGGAAGCAATGGTTCTCATCCAAAATATGGAATGGCATACTTATTACTGACTAATCCATGTCGCCGCTTTGAGGGCCTGTTGTTACAATCCTGTTTTTATCTTCTTGGAAAATAGTGGCTAGTGATAAAGGGTCCTTCCTATGACATTCCTGGGCTCCTAGAACTCCAGAATTTTCTAAGCAAGGCTTGCAGGCTAAGAGCAGTGGCTCACATAAACATTTGTGTTTCTTGCTCAGAAATTACATTGTTCTTCATAATGGATTGCACGCCCTTCAATGTGCAAGGAAGTTGGAGGAAAACATGTGTTGCAGTAGTTTATTAACACTGCACTCCAGTTTAGATTGTACTTGCTTATTACATGGAGACAGGAAAAAGTACAGTGGGTTATTTCCTCCCCAGGCCCCCTCCTGCAATTTGTACAAGATGGAAGGTTGCGGGGTTTATTACTTTCAGGGTATATCTTCCACCATATTGAAAACTGAAAAATGGCACACCAGCCTCCAAAAAAGGGATAAGATTTATGAATAGATTTATGAAGATTTATATAGCTTACAAGTCAGAAAAAAGTAAGATGCTGTTTACACATCTGTATATGCACCTTTCAGGAAATAACCTTGGAGCACTTTTTCATATTTAGGTAGTTTATTGTTACTGCTCTGTTTTTGTATATGGGTAGTCCTCAACTTGTGACCACAATTGAGCCCCAAATTTCTGTTGCTAAGTGAGACATTTCTTAAGTGAATTTTGACCGATTTTACAACCTTTCTTGCCACAATTGTTAAGTGAACCACTGCAGTTGTTAAATGATAAATTAATTTTTTCAGTGCTGTTGTAACTTCAAGCAGTCACTAAACGAATTGTTGCAAATCAAGGACTACCTGTATAGATAATCACCCTGGATTTAGAAAAAGCAAGGACAAGATAATAGATATAGATTTTATATTTGCAGCCATCAGTTCCAGTAATATCCCATGCTGTTGATTAATCACCTTTTTTTCCAGTTCCTTCCTGTTACACCAGTAATTTGTATATTTCCCACTGTTGTCTATCCTAGTTACTCATTTTTTACCGTAATACATTTGTTATCAGGAACTACCATGTATTTTATTACCTGCTGGCAGGAGCAAGCGAAGAAGAGAAATCTGCTTTTCACCTTAAACAGCCTGATGAATATCACTACCTTAATCAGGTGGGAATATGAAAGCGGCTTTGTGGAGGGTACATGTGTTTTTACTTTAGAGCAATGGGCTACGCTCGCAATGCTATTTTAAAATGATGGTTCATGTCATATGCTTAGAAATTTCATGACATAAGCAACTGATCACTACGATAGAGAACTATTATGAAATCAAAGATTTTGGATCATAGATTTTCAAAAGAATATATAATTTTCCAAGCAATTTTAATATTATCAACTCAGAGATATTTATTATTTTATTTTCACGTTTGCACATCTTAAACAACTTGCATGTTTTCCTAATTCTTTTATTTGGTAGCATGAAATTTTAATATTTTTATAAATGTCCATTAATCCCAACTGCCTGTAAATAATTGAAATTATGGGGATACTGCATCTTGTACTAACATTTCATAACATTTATATAATTTGTTTTCTTGAGTACCCAGGGGTTTTGAATGCAATAAAACCGAGATGGAAGAACAGTTAAGGTGGTAAAATGTTATCCCATTAGAATTACGTAACATAATTGAATTCTTTTAAGATTGAATCCTAAATTACTTTCCTTCCACTAGTCAAATGGTACAAAACACAGCAGGTTTTTCAGTATAAGATAATGTGAGATCACTGCTAATGATTCCTCTCTACATTTCATTGTTTCAGTAGGAAACGAGTGGGGAAATCATAAATAGAGCCCTATATAGCTTAATAATTATTGAATTATCACTGAAGGAGTGATACAGGTATATTTGAAATCTTAAAAAAGTAAAACTTTAAAGTTTTGCTTTGATTTCCTATTTTAAAAGATTCCCGGGATGAGTAGCCAGAGAATCTGGCAATCAAATAATACCTAACCTTTATAGCATTAGTGTTACAAAGTGAATTGTAATTTTAGGTTTCAGTTTTATCCAAATAACTTCTATTTGGTCACAATAAGAAATATTTGAGAACTTTTATTGAAAAGCTTATAAAACTACTTTTTAACAAGATGGGAATCTTAATTTTAATTCAGATTGTAAAATCATTAAATATTGCAGATGGTTTTAATATTGGAAAGTAATCAGAGCAGTGCTGATAATTTTGTAGAGTGCATAGAAGGCTCTGCTTGGTCTTGGAGTAATTTATTCAGTTACTTATGTTGCAGTATTTGTACATTACCCCAATCAGAGACTTGTCTGCCTCTTCACCAGCACTACATTAAAAAGGTTGAAAGATAGTTGATCGACTTTACGTAATTGTTTGGGCAGTGAACAAAATCTATAAGATGGAACATTCTTAAATGATGCAGAAATGCCAGTGCATTCTACAATATCCTCCAGTTTAATTATAACATGAAAAGGCTTTTCAGTAACATGATAAAATCGTGTGGAGTACACTTTCTCAAAGCAAGGTGAACAGTACAGTAACATGGAGGAATGTTGTGACACATTTCTGCAATGGGAAATTTGCTTGACATTTAATGCTTACAGACACAGAAGACAAGCAGAAAGAGATTGTTGTGTGGGATTTGGAATGCTACTTACCCAATCTGCCTTGCTTTCAGATGACAAAGAAACCCCCTAAACACAGCTGGGATGACTGTTACTATGACTCTGAGCCGGTCAGTACGAGTCCATCCATCCATCCATCCATTCTGGGTTGCTGGTGGGGTGACAGGCCTTTTTTCCTTGCCTTCCAGCTTTGCTCCAAGATGCAAAGCAAATGCAGAATCGGTTACTTTTTATTAACAGTTGATGGCCTCATCTGTTAAGTAGTTTTCTCTTAAGTAGTTTTCGGGGGTCATTTTTGTGTGGTGACCTTTTGAAAAATGGGCAGACAAATAAACTTTGCCCAGAATAATTTTTTGCAGGATAACATTTGATACAATATATTCTCTAGAGCAGGGGTGTCAAACTCACGTCATCACAGCGTCGTCACATGACATATGATGACTTTTCCCCCCTTTGCTAAACCGGGCATGGCCAGTTCATGACGCATCCAGGCCATAGGCCACAAGTTTGACAGCCCTGCGCTAGAGAGAAATGCATTGATTTTAAAACCCATGTTCTTGAATCCTATCTGATTTCAGTGGCCTGGTTCACGCAAGTTTTGTTTTGTTTATTCTTGGTTTAGCAGGATGTGTAAATCCATCCATTATGCCGGATACTTATGAGTAAACCAGGCCACTTTGGCACTATCCTCAGTTAATTGTGGCTTAGAAAACCTTAATTATTAGGTGCATGCAGCTACAGATCCATCAGTAGAATAGAGTTCCCTTATTCAGTAAAATCGATTTCACCTTAGGTTCAGGACTATATTTTATTTTTTTGTATGTATTAAATCAGCGTGTATGACTGTCCATCTCATGATAGTAACTTTGCATAGTCAACATAAGAATTATAAATCAATATTTAAAAAAATCCAATAGTAATAACAGCCTTGGAAACAACTCCTAGAGGCCTCTCCAAGTTGTAGCCAAAGTGTAGTTTGTAAAGTGAAAGGAAAAAATGATTAAGTAACTGGAGAATAATCATTTTAATTCCATTTGAATTAACTGCTCTGACCTTTTAATATTTTTATAACTCCCATTTTATTTCCAAAAGCATGATTCTAATTGCATGTCAACAATTCTAACTTGTTTACAAATAAGATGTAATGAAATAATGTTTTATTTCATTTTTATTGAGAATATTTTTTCCATTTCCATTTTATTGTTTTTAAACTACAAGTATTAGATGGCGCATTAAAATACTTGTTTTTAAATCAGCAGAATCAAATGGTTCAGTGCAAAGATTTCAATTAGCTCAACTCTCTGGAATTGAGTTGGATTTATTGCTGGAAACTGTAGATGTGAAATCATTTTTTCTGCTAGCCTGCCTGATAGTGAATATTGCTCAGTTAAGCAAAGGGATATTGGAACAGATCTGTCTTATATTGTTCAAGCTTTATAAAACTTTTTTCTGGTCTGTCAAACTTGGGATTCCTTGAAATTAAAATGCCTGGCTACCCTTAAAGTATTAATCAGCACAGTAGTAGTAAATGCTCTCTTTATCCTTGACCTATTTTGAGTTTTTCTATTACAAAGTTCTTGTATTTTAATACAAGATCTATAGTCTTGTGTTCTAGACTGTAGCTCTTATCTTTTCTCTTTTATCTATTGATTTAGGACTTAACTGCCAACTTTGCTTTGTATTTTCTTCATGGTTTCTTTTTGCTCTCGGTGATCTCTTTGTTCCTCTTCTCCTCAAGTATCAATTTGATTTACATCCTTGCCAGATAAAATAGGATTTCCTATGCTTAGATCCTCTTTCTAAATAAAAGCTCAGTCTTTTGCAATCTTCTGCAATAGTCTTACCAAACTGCACAGACCAAAAAAAAAAAAAAAAATCTGTCCCAGTGTTCATACAGCAACATCACCACATGAATTAAACATGCAGAGTTAAAAATGCTGTCATGAGAAACAGCAGAGAATAGAATGAAGCTCTCTTACCTCATGCCCCAATTAGCTTCATATATTAATCCTGAGTAGAAAGGTATAAATAATAGAAACAGAAATTCTCCCTGATACGTACATGTTATTTTATTTTTGAAAACGGAATGCAGTGCTAGGGTGGAGGTTGAGTGTTGCATGGACTCTGAAATAGTTCAGCTTTGTTTTAAAAAACATTTTACAGATTCTTCAAATAACTGTTGGTGTTCAAGCCCACTCTATTGAATTGGAGGTTGTGTAATATAATGTGTACTCTTGAATAATTAAAAATGCAGCCTGTAACTCTATAGGTTGAAGCTTTGCAGTGATTGATAAGTCCCAAGGGAAAAAATTATCTTGCATAATTCACAAGACAGTTGAATGGCAAAGGATATCTAGAAATCGTCTTCTCCCTTGGTTTTTAACAATTGTGTTTACTGTTCCATGTAGATAAATTGAATGCAGTAATTCTTATAAAGATGGAAGGCACCTAGGAAAAGCCTTGGGTTTTTCTTCTTTTAGACCTACTCCTCCTTTCAGAAGTGGTCATGTCCAAGCATGTGGTTTTCTTAAAGTTATCTTAGGAATCTTTCATTCATCTGGCAATTCCTCCACTACTTATTTATAACTAAATTTGTTTCTCATGTTACATGACATTGTCAAGGAGAATGGACTTCAGCTCAGTTTGACCGTTATTCTGATTCTAAATCTGTTCACCATCCAGCATTGTACAGATTGAACTTTATACTGTATTGTTAATATTTTTATAACTTTTGGATGCCTATTTTCCCCCCCTAATAATTATTCCTTGTGTTGGACTCGATAGGATTGCTTCTCTGTTGAAGGTGAAGACCTAAAGCATGATTTTGAACGTTTGCAGCTAGCTATGGAGATGGTGGGCTTTCTTCCCAAAACACGCAGGCAGTAAGTTACTTCTCTTTAGAAGGTGATTGTGAATTGACCTTTTAACAGTTATTGTGCCCAACATTGGGTCTGTTAGTAAAAATATCACCCATTTTTACCCTATTAATCACGGATGGCATTTTCTAATTATTCCCATATAACAAATCATGGAAAAGCAGGAAAATCTGCCTTACATATGGATTTATCCAATGTATGAGAATTGATTTATATGTGTTTTAGGGAAACGTACATATACCACAACGTGGCTTAAGTGGAAGATACAAAAACACCAACTTGATTCATATGTAAGAACACTTTGGTGAACTTAATTTAGTTTATCTCTTTTATTGTTTTTTTTTTTTTTTGCACTCTTAGGATATTTTCCCTTCTGTCAGCAATATTACACTTGGGTAACATCTGTTACAAGAAGAAAACCTACCGAGATGATTCCATAGATATCTGCAATCCAGAAGTCTTGACTATTGTCTCAGAGTTACTTGAGGTAAGATCTCACATTTGGACATAAGCCTCCCACTTTTTTTTTTCTTCTTCTACATATTCTTCTATTTCCACATAAAATGTAATGATAAATGTGAAAGTTATTGGCTTCCATATTGGTAATGTATTAGTCTCTGGAGTAAGATAAGTGAGGTTAAATGGTCCTCCATAAAATAATATCTCCAATTTATCCTTGGTTACTTAGTAGGACTTTTCACTGATATTATTGGAACAATTTTAAATAAACAGAAATTTGCAAAATATATCTCATGTGATGGCCATCTATTTCAGTGTTATTTGTTTAAAGACAGGAATATTTTCGCCATCACCTGGCATCAGAAGCCAGTTAATTGGTTGATCTTGAATTTACTTTATAGCATCTTCTTTGTCACTAAAGTCCTTTACTACAGATGGCTTATTAAGCTATTTGTGGTTTGAGCTAGCTAAAAAACGCTTCGCTGTAAAATATGCAATCATTTAAAGTACTGCGTGTTCATAGTTGCCTTTTTGAAAAAAAAAAAACTCAAGGTCAGAGGTTCACAAAATCTTCTAATCTGAGCCAGCTTGAAATTGGAACAAAACTGCAATAATGAGAGGCAGGCCAAAGATTCCTTGAGACGCTATTTTGCATTTTATTTTACTAGCCAGAGAGTGTTATAGGAAAGCAGTGTTGAATAAATGCTGCCTTTTTACAGATACTGTGCAAGAGGAATGTGAATTTGTGTCCAACTGGAATGAAATCCTTTCAGTGAATCATAACTCACAAGGGAGTTTTAACCTCTCCAAAATATACAGTCTGCTCAATATTTTCTGCCACAGATCTTAGGTGTATTTTTTTTGTATGTGCCAGTAGTTTCACAGCAAGAGACAGCTGCTTATTCTGTTTTGGGGTGTCTCACCAACCCAAAACTTTGTGTCTTTGCCTTTTGAGGAAGGAAAGACGCTCTAATGGGTCTGTCTGGTGGGTGCCAATAGGTCCACTTAGCATTACTGACCCCTCCAGTGTAGCCCTGGTGTTGTTCTAGAACTGCTGTTGTTTGTGGTGCTACCATTTTTTCTGCTCTCCACAAGTTAGCTCTCTGGCGCCATCAGTCCCTCCCAAGAAGAGGAGATTGTTAGACATGGTTTTATGCAAGAGCGTGGAGAAAGCACACCATACTGTTTCTTCCTCTGGTCTCACTTAAGATGATATGCCATTTTTAAAATTCATGAAGGTCCGTAGCACCATTGATTAAAAAACATTGTTTTTTGTAAAGGCCTTCTGTGGATCTGTGGTAGGTACCTCAAATTCCTTATACAAAGGTTACTTATTTTACTTTCGAAGCTTGAACCCCACTATGATTCTAAAATTGTGACCTTTTTTTTTAGGTGAAAGAAGAAATGTTGCTTGAAGCGCTGATTACAAGAAAAACAGTGACTGTCGGAGAAAAGCTTGTATTACCATACAAACTGGCAGAGGTACGTGTTAGCAGTCATCTGAAACATGGAAAATTACATGAAATCATATTTTTTTAGAAATGCCTGCATATTCTTGCAGGGAAAGATTGATAAACAGCCCATTAGATAGCCAAGCCCTTGACCTCATTAAACCTGAGTATTTAAATCATATGATTAAGCCATTCATTTGGCAGTGTTCAGGAATGGTCTTCAATTGAACATGCCTTAAATTCAATGTGCTAATTTTCCTCTAGTGTATTGATGAGTCATGACAGTCGTCGCATAAAGTCAACCTCTTTTATTAACATCTCACCCTCAGAAATAAAACAGCACAGCCATGTTAATTAAATCATCATGTGACATTCTGGCACATAATTTGATACTGTAATACAAACAACATTTAATTTTTGTGAGCTGGAAGATGTAGGCAAATAAACCTTTGATTGAACCGGATGGAGTTAACGGTTGAACTAGAAGCAAACAACAAAGCAATGCTTTATTTCCCCTGCTTTAATCACTCCTCCTGCTTGTGTCTTATTTTCATGGTTGTGAAACACATGTTTTGCTCGATATTGCTGGAATTGTAGTTCAGCAACATCTGGCAGGTCATGGATTTCTTGTCCTTGGTGTACGATGCTTCTGCTGAGTTTTTGTAAATTGCTCAGAGCTTATGGAAATTGAGTGGCATAGATCTTTCCGTAAATAAATAACACTTATCGGGGAACCTAACAATATTGCAGGTCTTTCAGTTAGTTCAAATTTTGTGTATGAATTTTAGCTCAATATTGGATAAGTCATGCATCCAGACCCAGACCGGTTAACAGCTCTTATCCTGAGATGTTCCTTGGCAAGCTTCCAGGAAAACATTTTTCTCATATTGATTGGTTGGTACAATAGAGAATGGCCTCCCTAAACTGCCTTTGTGATGACATAAGTTATTGCTGTAGAATTTATAAAATATTTCCTGGCTTTTTCTGTCTCCTAGCTCAGGGATAAATGGTGTGCATCTCTTCCCAGCCCCAGCCAATAGGCCCCAAAGTGAAAGATTTTGCTTTTCAAAAATATTTAGGGAGGCACTTTCTACCTGTGGCTGCACTGTATGAGTTACATTCGTTCAGTTGACTTAATGTTCCACGACATGCAGTCATTCCAGAATTTATCTAACCAGTAAATGTGCTAAATAAGAATGTGTACTTTTCCTAACAGATGGGACTTCATGAACAGTTGCATAGATGGGCTGTTCTTGACCAAAGATGAACTTCTGGAATTAAGATCCGGAGATCCGGTTGTTACAAAAGACACTATGATATAATGCTCTCCTTGAAATAAGACTTGAGGGGGAGAATTGAATCAGCAAAAACATAAAAAACTATGCAGACTCTGTCTTCTAAGATTAAAAGATGTTCCTGTCTGCCCAGAAACAAATGGTTTTGCAAATGGCTATATTAATATACAGAACTGTATGAAGACATATTTGAGGTTGAAAAATGGTCACGATTCTTGTCTGAGTCACTCTGGAGTGGTTTTTGCATGTAGTGGTCTTGGCCACTCTATTAGCACATGTAAGAAATGACATCAGTGTAGGAAACAGAAGAATTGTCTGAGAAGAAGAAATTGGAGGGAAGAGAAGATAATATGGCAGCCATCTGTTCCTTTTTTTGAAAGAAAAAAATCCATTTATATTTTTAAGTGTTCATTCAACAGTATAGCTAAACCACTCTGTTAAGTTAAGGTTGCTTTTAGTTGCCTACATATTTTCTGCAAGCTTCAGGAAAGCACGACATTTCTGACAGCTACAAGAAAATAAAATGATGGAAAGCACCACATTACAATAAGTGGCAGAGCCAAATTATAGAAAATTATTCCCTAGATTTGCAAAGGTCCTGTTCCTGTTTTTATTTTCTTGCCTGTCAATATAGTTGTGTGGGTTTAAGCATGATGGATGGAGAACAGGTTGTTCTAGCTTCAAGAATTCAAAACGTGAGCCTGGCTCCTCAAAGGACATGCAGGCAATAGTTAAGATAGCTACTAAGTGATTTTTGACACATTTGTGGTTGTTTTTTTAAGTGGAAGGATGTTTATAGCAAAGCAGATGCAGGGAATCTGGGTGTGGATTTTTACAGTGCTTGTAGTGGTAAAGACTTTCTGTGTGATTTGCTTAGCTTACTGCTGTTCAAGAAGCTACTTTTGCCGCCCTTTTGTAGCTTCTGTTGGCCCACTGACCGTTGGAGTACACACTCAGATGAACTGGGCCTTCACAAAGGACATTTGGCATTTTGCACTCTATTGGTTCAAAAACCCTGAATTGATCACATTGGTGTATTTTTAGGTACTTGGAATCATTGGTTTAGAGAGATTGAAGGTTTAAAGGCTGTATTCTCTACCACAGCTTAGGCCACATCCATCAGAGGCAACAATCATATTGTCTTTAATCACAATGAGAACTCAGTTCTGAAATCTGCTATTGTTAAAATGAGAGATACTTGAGCTCTTCCCTCCAGAAAGCAGGAAACAATGAGGGCAGAGAAGGCAGAGATTCTCCCTTTTCCTCTGTAACACCGAAGCTAAATTTTGCTAATAATACCCACCTACCACCCTACCTGAATACATTTAGATGTTAAAACAATATAATTAGAATTTGGCTTGATTTCCAACAATTTCTTTTGATTTCCTAGGCAGTAACAGTACGGAATTCCATGGCCAAATCATTGTACAGCGCCCTGTTTGATTGGATCGTTTTTAGAATTAATCATGCACTTTTGAATACCAAGGACTTAGAAGAAAGCACCAAGGTATGTCTTTTTCAAGAACGTTCTGTCTATTGACTCAACTGACTTAGGTTTGAGGCTGGTTGAGCATACTATCTCAGAGAAGCAGCATGTTTAGAGCAGGGGTCCCCAACCACCGGTCCGTGGACCGGTCCCGGTCCGTGGAACATTTCCTACCAGGCCACCGGTTTGCTGGGCGCCGCCATCTTGTTTGACGAGAAAGTGCTTCCGGGTGAGCTTTTCTGGTTGGAAAGCGGCGTTTGGGTCCTGAAGGAATCCTCGCGCCTTAGTTTCATCGAAGGGGGGCGGCTTCGAATGAAACTAAGGCGCGAGGATTCTTTCAGCACCCAAGGCAAAGAGAGCTGAGCGACCGTCCCAAAGCCGTCCCAAAGCGAAGCCCATCGACAAAGGTACAAAGGAGGAGTTGAAGGTGGCGGGGAGAAGCGGGGGACGGCTGGCTGGCCGGTCGCTCGACTCGCCTTGCCTTGTCATGCGTGCTGATGCCGGTACCGGGCCGCGGATCATTTTGTGATACCGGTACCGGGCCATGGCACAAAAAAGGTTGGGGGCCACTGGTTTAGAGAACCAAAGGTCCCTGATTTTGAGCATTTCCCCTTAAAATATAAAACACAAACAATCACATGTAAGCCCACTTACCTTTTGCAGAGGTTAAATGATCTGACAGCTGAAAGTAAATGTTGAAAGTAAACCAGAGACTAAATTGCAAATTGTTTATAACATGTAAGTTGCTTCTTCTTGAAAAGAAGCAGCTTACAAGTTAAAAATTACTCACTTAACAATTGAATTGCCATCCACTCTAGGACAAAATCTCACAGAAATAGAGCTAACGGTTCATACAGGAAGCAAAATGTCTCCATAGAACAGGGACGGAGTACGATGATAAAGGGGAACCCTTTATGACTTGTGGACTTCCACTCCACAATGGCTGACTCAGGAATTCTGGGAGTTGAAGTCCACAAGTTATAAAGGAGCCCTCGTTCCCCACCCCTGTCATAGAGGATCCTTATTAGGCTTTGTTTTCATGAATACCCCATGCGATAGAAATCTGGATGACATCTCTCCTGGCTGTCCACTTGGGGCATCTATCTGATAATACACTATATATTCTAGAAGAATTTCACACACTGGCTTTACATACACAACTTTTATTGCATTAGGTACATTGTTGTCCTTGAGAGAAGGAAAATACTGTCTTACATAGGGAAGTCTATTCTGATATAAAGCCACCAATCCAGCCCAGTATCTTCCTGGGCTAAATAATGTAGATTACTTTGTGCCTCAGTGATAACTGTTTGCTGAGTATGGTTTGAATTATTGCAGTGTATTCTTGACATAGGATTAATTCCTCCATTTTCTCCAGTTTTATTTGAAAGATTACAGTAATTATTCTCAGATGTCATAAGACCGTAAGCTCACAGTGTTCTTTCACCATTCAATGTTTAATGCAGGGTTTTTCTGCCTATACCAAGCCAGTTGGGGTTAGGCACTTAATGCTCCCCGAGCAGATAACTATAATGTTCAGCTCAAGTTTAGGACAGGTCATTGTTCAGGCTTAATATAAAACTTGCATATATAATGCTGATAAACTTAGAACAGAAGTCACAGAAACCCTGCTGCTTCGCAGAGTAAATTCTATGTAGCATATGCTGGTTTAATTTTCTTGTTATAGACGCTTTTATTGCATAGAAAAACATTTAGTTTTTTTCACCTCCTCCCACCCAGTTGCTTTTCTCTTTTTAAAAGCTTTAATAAAATCTACGACACAAAATTCCCAGTATACTCTATTGCAGTGGTGGCTAACCTTTTTTGGCTCCTATGCCGAAAATTGCGCTTGTGTGCCAGCACCCAGAAGGCAATGTGTGCTTCCCCCCACATACTCTCTGCATATGCGTGTACAACCCCCCCCCACACGCCATGTGTCCCTGCGCACGCATGTGATCCCCCATGCATGTGCGCCAGATACCCAACAATTAGCTGTCGGGCAGCAGCGCGCATGTGCAGTGGGGCTCTTCTGGACAACCTCTCATGTGCCTGCAGAAGTGGCTCTGCAAGCCACTTCTGGCACGCGTGCCATAGGTTCGCCAACACATTGTATCTACTTTTTTTATATTAAAGGTTTACATGCAGATTATAAGAACTGTTACCTTTTAATGTTGTCTAATTCATATATATTCTTTTGTGCCAGGATCTGCTTGTACCTTTATAAGTCGGAGAAGTCCACTTTTTAAAAAAACTTATCTGTTTCTACAGCCGAATGTACGGACGTGTGCAAAAAAATTTTAAATTAATTTGTTGCTGTTTTAATTACTCGTGCCTGACTCCTGGCGACTTTATAGGCAGCTGCTCTCCATGCTAACTAATTACTCAGAAAATAAATCTAAAGAATTTTGTTTTGTTCCAAAACACCTTTTCCTTAAATCATATAGAAATAGCAAAGAGCTCAGCCTTAAAACCTGGAAATGTGATTATTTGGGAATTAAATAATAAATGTTAAAACCTTTTGAACATTATAGCAGTGTGTGATTGATGTGCTCAGTACGAGTCCTAAATTAGCTTCTCTTGGAAAATGTCTGTGGCATTTATCATTTTATTTAAATTTTACTCTGGGTGAAAATAGCTCCTGTGATTAGTAAGGCCTCCATCTATTAGTTATTAACCATCTATCTAGTAAAGTATGCTTCTTGGTAATTGCAGTTTCTCTGAGAAGTAGGTTAAAAGGCGTAATGCCAGAAAGAGTATGCGGGGAGGGAGAGGTCAGGTAATTAGTGATATATTTTATTCAGGACTGCACTTTCTTTCAAGATAAGTTAAAGTACATTGTCTAGAGTGGTGTGGTTCAAAAAATGGCACAAGGCTGCTGTGTGATTGATGGAAGGTTTGGGTTGGAGTCTTTGACCTCTTCCAACCAACAGAGGCACTGACTTAATGGTTGCAAATGCCATAGCAACCTTATTGTTAGATGACCCAGGAAGTTCAAGTATTAAATGCAGTATATCTGTTTTGTGTTTGTTTTTTGTCTTGCAGACTTTGTCCATTGGAGTACTTGATATTTTTGGTTTTGAAGATTATGAAAGTAATAGCTTTGAACAATTTTGCATTAATTTTGCAAATGAACGTTTACAGCACTATTTTAACCAACATATCTTTAAACTGGAGCAAGTAAGCCTGGAAAAAAACTATTTTAATTTGTTTTTAATGATTGTTCCAGTAATGGAACTTAACTATATTCCCCTTCCTTTTACTGTAACAACTTGAACCTCAAGATGATACACTCATTTGATCTCAACATTCCTAGTGCTTTTTTCCTTTTTTCAATAGCTCTTCTTCTCAGTTAGGATCAGACCTAGGAGATCCTATATCTTTTGTTTCTTCAGCCCTTTGGAAAATGAAACAGTCAGCAAGACCACTGAGGGAATTGTGGGGCCTTGCATTCTTGGGCAAGTTACTTTTCCAAAAGATGCCCGCATAATTAAATGTCTCCCATTATATGAGGGAATGTCGGGTTGACTCAGAGAAAGAGGAGGAGTGCCAAGCCAATGCAGAAGGGAACTTTGAGTCCTGAGAAAAAAAGAAACTGTGAGAAAAAGATGTAAAACAGACCTATCTGTTTAACAGACCTATCTGTAAAACAGACCTATCTTGATTGTGTTAGATATAAGCTTGAAGTAAGGACTGTGATAGGCTTTTAGGATCTTATTATAATAGCCCAACTACATTAAGTTACATTCCAAGATTCCTATTTCCTGCCTACCTTGAAATAGGAATAGATTATTATTGTGCCTCTCCTCCCAGAAATTCCTATAATCGGGCCAAGAAAGTATTTTCCAGATCTTCTGCTTGGCTTCAAAGTCCACATGCCATGGTAATACCATTGTATGGCCTACAAATATAGTCCTGCTCAGTTTTAACAGCATTGGCCTGATTTTTCCCTGCGTAGTATGTAGATGGGCAACTTGAAATCCAAAGACCATATGGTTACATTTGGAGCAGCCAAGAGCTTCCCGCTGGCAAGCTTTGTCACATGATGAGCTAGCCAGTGAGAGATGGATTGATGCCGGGGTATCCAACCTCACCAACTTTAAGCCTCATGGACTTCAACTCCCAGAATTCCTCAGCCAGCAGCTGAAGTTCACCAGCCTTAAAGCTGCCAAGCTGGACACATGGACAATTTAGTCTATTGACTAAATTACAATGTTAGTCAACTAATAGCAGCAATTAACCTATAATCTGCAGTTATATAGAAATATGGGTCAGACAATGAAAGGGTACATAGGAAGGTACATGAATACATGGGGAGAGCTTCCGATACCAGATCCAAATTTAAGTGACCTAGGGGTTCAAAAGGTCTGTGACTAGTTTGTTTTCAGTTGCTTGGATTTTAGACTTAATTTGTTTTTTCCCCAAACACCAGGAGGAATACAGACTGGAAGGCATCAGCTGGCATAACATAGACTATATCGACAACTCTGGCTGTATAAACCTCATCAGTAAAAAGCCCACAGGGTTGCTCCATCTACTGGATGAAGAAAGCAAGTGAGTCTGCTCCTTCCCAGCTTTGTAGTTATCAGATGTTGGAAGTGAGTCACAGCATAAAAGGAGAAAATAAAATAAGAAACCTTCACAGGTTTGAAAGGTATCTGTATGGTAAGGCAGGCAGATTCATATGATCAGACTAACTGTATGGGATGAGAGCAGGACCGTTTGCTTATCTGTATAGGACAGTTCAGAGCTGCGACAAGAAGTTTTAACATTAATTGTTTCACCTCTGGGTACCAGTTTGCTTTTAGAATTACGTTATAACCTATTGAACTGGATTTTTTTCAATTACATATAGTTGCCAAGGTGAAACAGAAATGGGATTTCCTATACTGACTCAAAGTACACAGCATCCAGGGATGGCCTTGCTCTGTTTGTGCTGGATATTTTTTAAAAATCCTATAAAACAACATAAATTCAGTAATTAAACAAGTAGCAATAAAATTGTATTCAGTTTATACAAATGTCTACAAAGACCACTGTGCAGTGTCTGAAGAGATATGTTAGAAACATTTTCTTGTTTTTTCATGGAAAAAAATGTATTCTCTTGTTAGATTTGGGAATAAACCTAGTTTAATTCATGAAGACATGTTACTCTCCATAAAAATAATATTTAGTGCAGTGTTGTAAATCACATTTTTCCAAAATACTAATTAATTTAAAACCAGAATAGAGTATCTAAAATTTGAACTTTCAGAAGAATACGCCCTTTATTATGATAGTTATGATTTTGATTATGTATCAGCAAAAAACATTAATGTTCCTTTTTTATTTTAGTTTCCCACAAGCAACCAATCAGACGTTACTAGACAAGTTTAAGCGTCAGCATGAAGGGAATCTCTACATAGAATTTCCTGCTGTAATGGAACCTGCTTTTATCATAAAACACTATGCCGGGAAAGTTAAATATGGTGTGAAGGTCTGTAACTTCGTCTCTGCTAACAATTAATTTTAAAATATATATAAATTCCCTTGGTTAATACCAAAAATCACAATAATGCCTAGAGATTTCCATACTGGTTAGAAAAATGCTAGTTGGATGATAGAAACATTGTTTTTAATTATTAAAAGTTTTCAATTTGTATTTGTTCTGAGTTTCTATGTGCCTGGCCTTATGAAATGTATAAAATACACTTTCTTCAATATCACTTGTTGTCTTTCTCTTACTTCAGTATTTCTCAACCTTGATCATTTTAAGAAATGAGGACTTCAGCTCCCAGAGTTCTCCAGCCTGGCTGGGGAATTCTGGGAGTTGAAATACAATATATCTTAAAGTGACCAAGGTTGAGAAACACTGTCCTACTTTATTCCCTATTTAACACTATATTTGATTACTTGTTCTTATTTTATTGGCTTGAACGAGACCGCTTCTTATTAGAATGTGAGCATGGGAAGATAATGGCTAGAAAACCTAGGGTCTTAGTTAAACCTATCTGCAGTAGCAAGAGCACACATCCTTCATCCAATCTGGAGATGCCAGAATCTGAACCTTTTTCCTGCAAAGCTTGTATTTGATCACCAAGCTAATTATCCTCAATAAACAATTATAAGAGTTGGTGGAAGACACAGGAGCTTGATAGTGACATATACCGAGAGAATACTACTGATCTTGAGTGAGTTTAGCTCTCAAGAGTCACCATTTAAGAAAAGTGATGGTCTCTTTCATTTTTGTTATTTATTTATTAAATATACATGAGGTTCAAGGCCTCTCTTCATTGTGTGTGTTCAAGCAGAGGATGGAGAGGTTGGGAAGCTTTAAAGCAGATTTCAGGACAAAATAGACAATTTAATTCAGTGACCTGAATTACCTCTTCCAATTCTAAGATTGTTTTTTTAAAAAAAAAAAATCAGGCAAGATCAGGCCAGCTTAGTATTTGAACAATTCCGATGGGAGATTTGTGGGACATTCCAAGTTTGTACGATAGACTGAGAAGTTAAAAAGAAAAAGTTCTGAAAATACTATTTAAAATAGTTAAGGAAAGACCATGCTAAGCTCTGCTTCTCTTCTTTCTCATCAGGACTTCCGGGAGAAGAATACAGATCATATGCGACCTGACATTGTTGCTCTCCTCAGGAGCAGCAAGAGTGCCTTTATCTGTGGGATGATAGGGATTGATCCTGTTTCAGTGTTTCGCTGGGCTGTCCTCAGAGCGTTCTTCAGAGCTGTAGTTGCCTTTAGAGCCGCGGGGCAGAAGTACATTGAGAAGAAAACTGGTACGTGTCAAGCAAGATGGGCAGTGTATAAATTTAATACATAAATATTGTACTCTGGCCTCAAAAGTGGCTATCCTTCTTGGATCCTTTGCAGATGCTACTTTTTTTTCTAACAGCTTCTGTTTTCCAGTCTGCCTCTTTAAGAAGAAATAGCCAAAAGAATCTTTAAAATCATATGTTAAAAAGATTCCAAAGATTTTGGCATAAGAAAAAGGAAAAACATGTAAATATTTAGGGTGATTTTTGAGTGTCATTTTTGCTTTTGTTGGCAGTACAATGTGCAGAGAATGTTTTAAGCTCTTGAATAGTGATGCGTTAGATTTAATCCACTAGGGTGTTAGTTGGCTTGAATTTGTTGTTTATTTATTACTATTAGAAGAGCTAATTGTTTTGTTTGTATCAATTGTTTGTTTACTGTTTCCTAGAAAGTTTTCTGGCTACTGTGAACTTGAGTATAGCTACATCCTTTCTCAAGCTTTCTAGAATAACTACCTGTACTCTTTAAAAAGCCAATTTGTAGCCCCAAATAGACAAATATTTTGATTAGATGAACGGGGTGGGAGAAAGTTGAGAAATTTTGTCAATAATTTAGGATGGTTTCCTTAAGGTTCAAATAGTATTTTCTCCTATGTAGGCAAATTGGTAAGCAATATTTTTTTTTCAAAGCTGAAATCTACTTTGAAACAAATGTATTTGTTTTAAAAATTGGCATTTGGAGAGGATCACACAGGATGCACAGAAATCCCTTTGCGTTATACAGTTGGAATATGTAAACATTTATACAAAAGAGAATGTTTCAAATAAATCTTTGGCATTTCCATAAACTTCATAGGATACAAATTTTGTGAGTGTGCTTATAAATGTATGTAGTAAAGTCTAGCAGCTGATAGTTAGAAACAGAGTAAATAAGTTCTTGCATGAACATCTGGTGGTCTTTTTAATAAGTTACAGTTCTTGCAAGCGCGTGTTGTTTGCCAGTCATGTTTAAGAAACCATCCTTTCAGAAAAGCTTTGTGGCAGAGGGGCCTGTGGGCTCAAAAATCAAGAACAAGGGCTCTGCTTTCACATCTGGATAAACATCCATGTGCACTTTCTCTCTCTAAATATGTACAGGAAATGTAGCTGTTTTGTAGTGAGGATTTGTTGGGAAACAGAAACTGACCCAAATTTCTTGGTGTGGATCCAAGTAGTAACACCGTGTTTCTTCCTTACAATAAATGGCATTCATGTTTTGTAGCTGTTTTCTCTTAACAAGAATTTTGGTAAGAAAAATGTCATATGAGAAACAAAACCTGATTCTCGGAACTTTCGAGAGTTGGCCCAGGTCTCCCAGCTCTGTCTTTCATTAATAGAAGGTACTAATGATTCCCCAGACAATTAATTGAAAATTCTTATTTTTGACATGAGTCCATAGGATGCTGCCTTCCTCTGTTGCTAATGGATAGATATTTCAGCATAAGTTGCAAGGTTTTGCTTTGAACCCATACAGAATCAATCAATCCGTCTGCAGGTTTAGCAAGGCAAATTCCTTGCTAAATATTGCATGCCACAAAGTTATTGACTTCCTCTATTTCATATGTTCTTATCATCACATGCACCAAACTAAGGGGTGTAAAGTAGCAAAAAAGGATATAAGTTTTATGGTAGACTTTCTTTCCTTTCTCTCTTACGTTTTATTTTTGTTTTTGGCACTGGTCACTGGTCACAATAAAGTTTGTTCTGATTTTATCTAATGACGCAATTCAGGGAAATAGATCTGTTTAGATTCAGAGTTCCAATGAATGGATACTACATTTCATGAGGGAAACATACCAGATTGTGCTCTTTAAAATGTGAATTGTCACTCTAATTATTGTCTTGATCACAGAAGAACTTAGCAGTTATGCTCCTCTCCTGTGGTTTTCTTATGCTAAAAACTTCTTTTTTATCTTTATATATAAAATCTAATATCAAAATATATATTGATGAAAGTGGCTTTAGGAAAGATAAATAATTTTAGAAAGGAGGTAGTTTTCAATACAGAAGAGGCAAAGAATTCTTTTCTTTTTTTAATGCTTTTCTCGTCTGCTACTTTTTCTTTGAAAGTTCTCTTCCTTCTAGAATCCATATATTTGGAATTGGATTGTAAGTGGATATTTTAGAAACGTGTATCAAAATGTAAAGAAATTCTTAACGTTGTGCATGCACTTTCCCCATTAAAAATAGTCCTTCTGCAGGGCTTCACCCCCTCCCTGGAACTAGCAGTTCTTGAAATAGATGGTTTTGTATACAGTGTGCTGAGGCATTGTTTTATACTTATATATATATCATTGCCCATCTACAGAAATTTTAACATCGGTGAGATAATACTATCTCAGTCCCATCTAGTGTTTAAAGAAACTACAGGCAGTCCTTGTCTTACAACCATTTGTTTAGTGGCTGTTTAAAGTTGGCTCTGAAAAAAGTGACTTATGGCTGGTTTTCTCAGGAACATTCCAGCATCCCTGTGATCCCGTGATCAAAATTCGAGCACTTGGCAACTGGTATCTATTAGTCGAAAACTACCTGTATTTAACAGTCCAAGTCTGGTTACTGATAGAAGTTATGTGAATAAGTAAAATGGAATCTGTTTATAGCAGTGGCTACTCTGACATCAAGGTTGTCTAAGGCAGCGCGTGAAACTCGTAGCCCGCGGCCCGGATGCATCACACGCTGGCCCTGCCCACCCCCAGTCTAACGAAGAGGGGAAAAAGTCGTGATACGTCACGTGATGACAATGTGACGCCCGGAGTTTGACACCCCTATCTAAGGGGTCTAAGCACAGTTGAAATAACTTGATTTTAGTTCTGGCCTCTGGCCTTCCAATATGAACAGTCTATATGCTGTTTTTACTGTACGTTTCTCCTCTTCCTCCTCCTTCACAAAATGTGCATATCTGGTTTTAGATGCTGTTAATTGATATACATTATCTCAAGGTTAAAAGATTGCCTCAAGGCTTTTTTGAATTCTCCTCTAAAATCTACCTAAGCTGATTCAGACAACAGATGGGAAGTATCTCATGCCCATGTCTGGTTTTCGTGTTATTCTTGTTGCTGTTCAGTGTGCAGTTGTGAAAACAGATTTGGGTTGAAATATTAATATTCATTTGCAATGCTGCTTCTGAAGTACTTGTGTTCTTATAGCAGCCTTTTTCTACATGTGCATTTGTGGTAAAATCTGAGAATATAGAATCAGTCATATGTTATTGTCAGCAATGTGCTTAATCCACTGAGTCTGTAAATAATATTATATATTATATTGGCAGGTTGTGCCTTGATAGCCAAAGGTAATTTTTTCCACATTCTTTTCTATTTAAACTTTCAGTAAGAAACAATCCATGAAAATCCTAATGATAATTTCTGATTCTGATAAGAGAGTCAAATTCCAAGATGAATATCTGATGATTAATTCCATAATCACCAACTTTCAAGATTTACAATTATAATATTTTTTAAAAATCACAGGTTTGGACATGATTAGCACTCCTGGGATGTCTCTGATGTAGAATCATCTTCTTTTTTGAAATCTTTTGTCTTTAGTGTTTTGTCAGTATCATGCTACCAACTATTGTCTTTGGTATTCGGTTTGTCTTTCACTTCTGGCCTGTTTTTGTGCTGCTTCAGTGTTTCTGCCAGTACAGATCTATTCCATTACAAAGACACAACAGCTGAATTTATGTCCACGCTACACTACAAATGGCTGTTTCTGGCTTTATTGGGTTATGTATTCTACCCATGATAGCTTGTCACTTAAAGTGATGTGTGAATCTGGCCAGTGATTTAACCAAGAAAATGAAAATTGCTGGAATTTGTGCCATCAGTTGCCATTTCAAAATGGTATTAATTAAAGAGGGATAACTTGAAACACATAATCTCTCAAACATACAGAACAAATTTACAATAATTATGTCAGAAAGAGCCAGTTTGGTGTAGTGATTAAAAATACACAGCTAGAAACCAGAGATCTCTTGAGCGCTAGTTCTGCCTTAGGCACAAAACCAGCTGGATGACTTTGGGCTAGTGCTAGTCTCTCTCTCTCTCTCTCTCTCCCCCTCTCTTTCTCTCTCTCCCCCCCCCCCCCCCACCTAGAAGAAGGTAGCAGTGGCAAACCAATTCCAAAAACATTGTCAAGGCAGACTCAAGGCAATCCCTATCTGGCTTTGTAGAGTTCAAGATAGCCAAGATAAACACCTTCAAAGCTTATAACAGGCACAGCACCTGCACTCTTGGAGTCCTTTCTGCTTTGCTCCTTAGATACATGAGAATTATATAATTCAAATTGAAAAGCCAGTCTTATATTAGCTGTACTGGAGGAATTTCAGTCTTGTGTTTCCCTGGCTACCATTTGGTCTACTTTTCCCAGACTGCATTGGCTCTCCTCTTGAGTCCTACCTGAAAGGATTTCTTGCAGATAAGGCACACAGCTTAAATTGGTCTGACATTTTATGTCTCCGTTGCAAAATTTGACCTTTCCAGTATAGAATTATAAGCTCATTGAATATGATTGTTGCAAGTCAAGAATGAGCAGACTAACATGGAATTGGAATTGGTGGCTTTGTGGCTAAAAGTTCCATGTGTTAAGGAGCACTGTGGAAATGTATAATTGGTTTTGATCACCAGAAATGGATGCATTTATATCTGAGCTAATCAACCCCTATTAAGGACCAGTATACTTGATAGACACATATTTGATTAAAACAGTAGGGATATTAAGTTTTAATAAAATGCATGTTACAATCTGCAGCCCTTTCAGTGTTGTTTGTAGCTTATGAAAACTGCGTAGGCCAGGTTAAGCCATCCCAGCTACCTTTTCTGTACTTAAATTATACTTGAAAGACTCTAGGGCAGGGGTGTCCAACCTTGGCCAATTTAAGGCCTGTGGACTTCAACTCCCAGAATTCTCCAGCCACCTATGCTGGCTGGAGAATTCTGGGAATTAAAAGTCCAAAAGTCTTAAAGTTGTCAAGGTTGGAGGCCCCTTATCTAGGGTTTATTATACATTTCTTCAATAAATAACACACCTCGTCCATTCACCAGAACTGCTTGAAACAGTGAACAGGAGGTTTGAAACACTCTGTGTCAGTCAGGCATTGTCCGCGCTTGTTCTTGAATCTTCCTTGGTTTTCTGCTTATGTAATCTTTCTCTTTTCTCCATGTTTTTGTTTTGCTTCCCGAAGGGCATGATGATGCTGTTTTGAAAAATGTGGATAGTTTTAGCTTTCTCCATCACCCAGTTCACCAGAGGAGCTTAGAGATTCTACAGAGATGCAAGGAGGAGAAGTACAGTAAGGCGCCATATTCCACCATCTCTCTGACATGACACTCACACGCAGCAGGAAATGGAAACCAGGATCAGGCTGTGTTAGCCAGGGTGGGCAGCCACGCTCAGACCAACCTGAGATCATAACCCAGAGAGCGTTTGGAAGGTAGTTTTAGAATCAAGGATTCTCTAGGCAAAGCGAGCGTTAAGAGATTAACTGTCAGTGCCCTGGACCGTACCTTAATCGCAAACCCACCTGCAGCACTTGAATCATTTGGTCAAAGTAATTATTGATGATTTCCCAGAGATTCCGGAGATTGGCTCAAAATTCTTCTGTAGCAGTGGCCTTTAGAAGAAATGAAGGAGATGCTAAAGGAAGAATTTGCTGAAAAGCATTAAATCTTTATATATTTATATATATATATATATATAGGGAGAGAGAGACCGAAACTTTTAGTAGAATCTGACCATATTTTTCATTCCCTGTTTTTCTCCCTTTTTATACAATAACATTTACCTAGGATTGAACGGCTTTAGTGCAGCTTACGTGAAACCGGTAAGCTGTCAAGAGAACTCCTTTCATTCTAGAGAATGGCAAAGAAGCCCTTGGTCTCCATTTCCTTCTCCTCACTTCTGTTTGTTACATAATGAACTAGTCCTGCATGAAAACCAGCCCCCCCCCTTGCCTTTGTTACTAATGATGGCTGGATTCCTGTTGTGGGAGGAGAAGGGATCCAGCAGCATGAAACATAACCCCCTCTGCCATAAAGAATAGCGCATGGTGTTTCAGTGTAACAGCTACATTGAGACCCTGCCCGAGGGTACCATGATGCTAACTTGCTCATTAAACAGCTTTGCGTACGCCATGGCGAGATGACTTCATTTGAATGACCATATGCCTCATCGCTGCTCTGCAGAAAGCGGCGACTAGATTTTATATCCAAAGTGTGCCTGACTCTTTGTGTAGGAACAAATGGAGATTTGTTGTTTTTTTTAATTGATCAACAATTCAATAAATTGTTCCAGAAAGCAAGTTCTTGGTTCCCTTCCCTTCTTTGAGTATAAAGGTTTGTAGCAAATAACACATCGCTTGTTTATATGAATAAAGAAACTGCACATGTTTATCTTGAATATATCCTGGAGTGCCATCTCCCACAAAGATGGGTGCCCTGTGTGAAGATGATGTAGATGGTAAGTCTTGACGTAAGAGGATTTCTTTGCTGAACAGATGGTGTGATTTTAGGGGTTTTATATAACCTTTTCTGGCTGTGTTTCTAATTCAAAACGAAGTCTAAATAAAACTGCATAAGAATTGGTCTGTTAGTCCCTATAAAAAGTATCTAATCCAACACAGAGAGCTGGAAGCCAACAGCCTAATTATGTTTTATTTTGTATCAAAGAAAATAAAATGTAAAGACCCAATTATCATTATGTTAAATAACTATTGATCAAACTATTCATGAAAGTAAACCAAGCATCAGCATTGGTAGCTATTGCCTTATGGTATAATAATAAAATCTAGTAAGTTGTGCAGTATTTAATTTGAAAAGGTACTTGTTTATCCTCCAGGTCTATTCCTAATGAAGCTTTGAATTTTAGGATTCAAGATGGAAAACTGCATCACTTTTCACGCTGTTCAAAATCTTGGGGGAAAAAATCGCAATGTCACCCCATTAATCAGTTTGTTTTTGCCTGGGCCAGAAGGAAGGAATACTTTAGTCTTGGTCTTCCCAAGTCTGATGTCCCTCCACCCGATTCCCCATCATTTTGAGCATAGTTCTCAGCCTGCGCAGTAAAGGTTTTAGCTCTGCAGGCTTGGAGGGAAGAGAGTTGCTGGGAAGGTACCAATTTGGAGACTTTTTTCAGCTGCTTTTGTCTTATGCTGATTCTACCGGATCTTTTTCGGAGATCAGGCAACCAGAATTCTATAGTTTTACATAAAATATTGGCTGGCCGACTCTCTGTTTTTGTACTTACGCTGAAGTTTAGTGATTTGGATACAATATGCAAGTTTTCTAAAGTCGTTGGCTCTAGCGACCAGACAAATTCAGATACTACAAAGTTATTAATGTAGTCGTTGCATTTCTCTGTTACGTAAAATTATCTGTTTTCTGCCAAGCGATGAGGTCTACAGTTTATTTTACAGAAAATTGGCTTTCCATGTGGGTAAATACATACTGTCATAAATTATGATTTTGACATAATCTCAGAAGTTGCTACTCTTTGCTTAGGCTTTTATAACTTTGGAATAGTCTCACGTCACCACCAATTTCAGGTCAGTGGATCCAGCAGAAATATTTGCAAAGATCTTCCTTGTTTGTTTTGCCCATCTAATCCCTTCTGGCTCCCTGTTAATAAACACAGATTGATAAGAGAATTTTTTCCCTTAACTCCTGATTTTGAATTTCCTTACAGCCTATTAATAACATCCTTCATTAAAGTGTGCATGAGCTTTATTATTCATGCATCAGATCAGAGGTACTGAACTCTGGGCTGCAGCCCACTAGTGGCCATGAGCTGTTTGCAATCAGGCTATGGAAACAGTGGGCGGGCACACATATCTCCCCACTTGCATGAGCAGTGGGTGAGCACATACACATAGTCTCCATTTGAATGAGAGTGGGCGCATGTGCACACCGTTCGTGCAAATGTAGCTACACACATATATGCGCTTGCCACACGCCCATGTGGAACTACCCCCACTCTTCCTTTTCCCCACTGGTTCACCCAGCCAGAAAAGCTGGGAAACTCTGCATTAAGGTTATACATGCTGGTTTAAAGGCTGCAAAAGAAAAATGAAATCAAGTATTAATTTTAAGGGGTGGGAATGAGCACTTCCTAAGAAAATTAGGAATTACAATATTACCATGTTGGTTTATTTCGATGAGTACAATAAGGTATAAAGCTAATGTTTTAGTTTGTTGACTCCATGAAATAACACATTTTTGATTATCACAGACAGATTTGTAACTTTTCCATTGGAATTGTTACTAAAGAAAAGTGTGAGAAAACAGTTACAGATCTGTTTGTTTTGTTCTTCTTCTCCAGATCTTTGTAGACAGTAATATTTGGCTGGGGAAAAATATCCATTTCAGTTGGTAGCTGTAAGTCCTGTCCCATTTTACATATTAGCTTAGCTTGGCTACTCTATTTTGAGGGCAAAAAAAACATTATATGAAATTCACTGATTCTCAAAACTATAATCTACTTTTTAATGTCAGGAAACCCTTTATGGCAACAGACCCTGAAAATAATAGTAATTGTTATTGTGGGGGGGGGGGGCAGAGAGGGATTTCTAAGCATGTAATTTATAGAAGAGTAAATTAGTGACACTGCTACAATAATTGTTATCTAGAAATCTTTACAGCAATCTTGTCTTTTCCCAGAATCACACAACTCTGCTCCACAGTTATTATACGATCCCATTAAAATACACAGTTACTTTAGAGTTACAGAGACTATGTTAGCTCTCTGAATTTCCAAACACCTTTATGGAATTTTTATTTCTTTTTATATTTATATGTAATTATCTATCTATCCTTCCTTTTTCTCTTCCACCTTTTCTTCTCTCTGTATTTTTTACTTTTACCTTTTTTTTTATATTTGTCATATTTAGTATTCGCTTTTTATCTTTCTATTTTGAAACTTCCAATAACAATTATTACTTTAAAAAGAATATGAAGCGCTGTTCACCCTGTGAACTAGATAGGTAGGAGCACAGTTTAAAAGAGGCTTTCTTAAAACCACGAAGTGAATTCACATTGGAGGTGAAATTAGAATAGAAGCTTGTGGTTTTGTGGTCAGAAGAACAACTACCAAAAACATTCGTATTGGTAGTATGAGCTTTCAGATTATAAAAAAAGCATTAGCTGTTCTAAAGTGTGGAGTGCAATATTTTAAGCCAAGGACAAAAGCTTTTAGACTGGAATAAGTGCAGTTTTATATCGGTTATTGATAAAGCAGATATCCATAGAGATTGTGCTTCAGGCAGGAACAGAGAGACCAAAAATAGCAAAGTATCCTTTTTAAACTCTGGTTGCTAAAGCCATGCAGCAGCTATGAATCATAGCATATTAAAAAAAAAAAAGCACCAGAAAAATTGCTGTTGTTAGCAGCAATCAGAGGCTTCATTTTGCAAAAAGTTATTGCAGTCATATGGTCTGCATTTCCCAGATGGTTAACAAGTATAAGTAATTGGGAGAGTGAAACAATGTTCAGATATTCTGATCATGGTTAAGAACGTTTTAAAAATACATTCCAACTTGTATCTTATCCCAAATGTGCTTTTTCAGAAGGAAGCTGGACTTTCTTCGTTTTTGCTTGAAGACATTTCATTTCTCATCCAAGAAGCTTCTACAATTCTGACGGAATGATAGAGAATGGAAGGATTTATATTCTTTGCAGTCATCTGCAAGCAAGAGTGAGAATGCTAAAGACCAGATGACTGCAAGGAATACAAATCCTTCCATCCTCCACCATTCAGTCAGAACTGAAGAAACTTCTCGGAAATCAGAAACAAAATGCCTTCAAGCAAAAACCAAGAAAGTCCAATTGCCTTTTGAAAAAGCACTTTTTCAAAAGGCAAAAAAGCACAACCACCTGGACGACTGAGAATCTCCATAGAAACTGGTATCTGAATTATGACAGCCAATGATTTTTAATGCCAGGCAACTTGACTGACAACATCCCCTTGGTTTTTGCCCCTGAAAAAAGGGGATATGCACCTTCAAGTTAAAATATGGCTCCTATGTAGAATGACATTGTTGTTTGTTTAATGGCAACCAAATAGAAAATGGTTTCCTTTATTTTTAAAAGCCTGTCGAATATATCACTTCACCTCACACCATAATAAAATCCTATTGTCTCCCTGTTCCCAGCATGTTCCATTTTTTTAGCCTACATTGCAACAGTCCTTTTCAAATGTGATCCGGTGAATCTCCTTCCACGCAAAATGGAACATTACATTCTTTTTTTATTGATGTGCTGCTACAGGTATTGCTCGGAAACGGCCGAGAACACCCCTTTCTGACCTGCAGGGAGTTAACACGATTAACGAGAAAAGCCAGCGGTAAGTGGATCCATCAGACAGCCGAAAAAAATTGACATCTCTGCTACGATGCCAGGACCGTGCTGTTCAATGCATTTCTCCTTTCCAATAACTTGACATTTTTCTTTCCCATTCTCTGTGAAAAGTAAAAAAAATGTACGCCTTCCATGCATTGCAGCGATGCCTACGGCGTGTGGAATAGCAGGATGGGCCTCAGACAATGCCGACTCTCCAGCCCCAGCAGTTTCCTTGACAAAGACGGGATATTTGTGAATTCAACAAGCAGCAAGCTTTTGGAGCGTGCCCACGGCATTCTCATGTTAGTGACTCTTTGCATTTGTTCAAAGGTGGCTTGGATAACCCTAGATGTAGGATAAGTGAGGGTTTTTTTTAAAAAAGTTGGTCCTTGGTACAGGTAGTCCCAGGGGTGGGATTCAACTGGTGTTACTACCGGTTTGGTGACTACGTTTTGGGCGCACGTGCGTGTAAACAAACCTTAAACTGTGCCACCCGGACAGCTGACAAGCGCTGTCCGCAGGTGCGCAGAGTTTGAAAAGCCTCTTTTTTCCTGCTTTTTCAACCTCAGCTGTGCCGCACAAAGCAGCTGAGGTTGAAAAATCGGGAAATAAAGGACAAGTAAGAGCAGGCGGGTGGGCCAAACAGCAGCAAACACAGAACCAGTTTGGTGTCTGCTGCTCTTCAGAGCTACTGGTTCTATAGAGCCGGGCAGAACCAGTAGCATCCCACCCCTGGGTAGTCCTCGACGTAGAACCACAATTGAGCCCAAAATTTGTGTTGCTAAGCAAGATACTTGTTAAGTGTGTTTTCCTACTTTTCTTCCCACCATTGTTAAGGGAATCATTGCATTTCTTAAGTTGTTCAGTGAATCTGGCTTTCCTGTTGACATTGTTTGCCAAAAGGCGCAAAAAACCCAGTCACATGATCCCGGGACACTGCAGCCATCATACATACGAGTCAGTTGCCAAGCATCTAGATTTTGATCATGTGATCATGGGGATGCTGCAACAGTTGTATGAAAAATGGTCATTTCAGTGTCGTCATAACTTTGAACAGTCGCTAAACGAACTGTTGGAAGTGCAGGTCTGCCTGTATCTCAGGAGCATAGAAGTATCAATTGATAGTTGATATTGCTAAGAACCTCGATGGCATGGTGCAACTGAAAACAGGGTTTTTTTAAAAAAAAATTACAAAGCAGGAAGAGTTCCTGAGCCCTGCAAAAGATGTTAATGTATACACTTGGAATGCTAGAGAAACTGTGGTCCAGATGTGGCTCTCCAGATGTCATCTTTTATAAGGCCTAACCAGAACAGATAGAGGGTGAGCCGAGTTGCAGTCCAACAACCTCTCTTCAACCTCTGCTGGTTGCTCAGCCATGCACTAGAGGTTAATGTTGTGGACTGAACTTCCCTGAGATACTATCAAATGAACATGGAAACTGCTCATATGAGCTCCTTCAGATACCCATGGCATTCCTCTTCAAAATCTGCCCCCAATAAGTCTGATACGTAGAGAAAATCCTTTAATGTAAGCTTGATCTCTTAGGATTTAAATTGGAAGAAACAAAATCTGTTTTCTACAGTTTCTCATTGTCCTGCCGTAACTTTCACCATCTAAATCCCTTTATATGGTGTAATTTCCTTAATAAACAGGCAACTAAAATAAATTGGGTAACTTTTTAGAAGTTTTGCTTATTAAATATGTATAGTGTCCAGGATTATAATGTAACCTGTTTCATGATGTTGGATGGTTTGAAAAACTTGATAATGTTAACATTTTCATATCAAATAGCGCATGTACTTGGTCCCAAAGTTTTATTTATATGTATGTATGTATGTATGTATGTATGTATGTATGTATGAATGTATGTATGTATGTATGTATGTATGTATGTATGTATTACATTACATTACATTACATTACAGAGAGAGAGAGAGAGAGAAATTATATATATGTTATATATATAAAATAAGGAGTCACGTGAACCCAGAGCTCATGCTTGATGTTATGTCCAAATCAAGACTTTTGGTCATGAAATATTTACAGATTAACAGTGTAAAGCTGCTTTTATTTGGTTCTTATCTTCCATAGGCGAAACAAGAACTTTAAAGTCAAGCCCAGCCTACCAAAGGTGAGAGAATTCTGTTACTTGGCTGAAAGCACAGCTAATGGATCTAGTTAAGAGTTACTTCAGGCATGATAGTTCTTCCCTACGTGTTGTAAAAAAATTACAGGCCCTGCGTACAAATACATATTCAAAACGCAGCGTACAGATCATTGAACTTATTTGCTTAGAGGATATTATCCCTACATAAGTCCATCCACAGAAATGCTTTTTCTCACATGGATGTAATAAATCTGCATGCATAAGTAACTTGTTGACCGTGGCAGAAATTATGGCAACATATTTATCAACAGATAATATTTATCATATTTATCAACAGATGATAAATAATATGATAATTCTTACGCTAGCTAACCTTCTTTGGCATCCAAGGGAAAGATGTGGGATGTTTGTAGCCCTACATTGCACTGTATGCCTCTCAGGGGTGTTTCTTGGATTGATTTAAGTTTCTTCAAAAATTTTCTGCTTTCTCAGCACTTGCTGGAGGTGAAATCCCTCAAGCACCTGACAAATCTGACGCTGCATGACCGTATCACGAAGTCTCTTCTCCATCTTCACAAGAAGAAGAAACCTCCAAGCATCAGTGCCCAGTTCCAGGTTACTTCCTTGCAGTTGTTTGGTTCGAGAAAGTGTAAATCTGGGGGTGGGGGCGGGAATAAGCCTGTCAGTCAAACGTTTTCAGGTTATGGATTCTGTTGGTTAGGAAGATGAATTCTCAAAAACAGCTGAACAAGAGGAAAAGCCTCTAGAGATTTTTTTTTTAATAGCTCTTTAGAAAAAAAACAACCTTTTGTTTTTCATGGACCCCATCAATTGTCACGGAACTCTTTAAGTTTGAAAAACCTGCTTTTAGATATTTAGTCCTGTGTGGCTCTACTTTCAGAGAAAATCAAGGTTATTTTGGGCTGGTTCAGTGGGAGGAGGAGGAGGAGGAGGAATCTTAACATGCTGGCCTAGATAATGGCACCAAGCCAGCTCTCTCTCTATACTAACTAAAAGCTCGTAGTTAAGCATGAACAAATTTCAGCGCCTCCATTGAATCCTCCCTCTTTTCTGCACTGTTTGAGCACAGCAGCTGCTAGATGCTTTTATTGGGGTCTCTGCTTCTACTCTCACAAAGCCTAAATAACGATTGCAAAAGCCAATGCTGTGTTTTGTTCTGCAGGCTTCACTTACCAAGTTGATGGAGACTCTTGGGCAGGCAGAGCCCTATTTTGTCAAATGCATTCGCTCCAATGCGGAGAAGGTAAACCTTTCCCCAACACCAAGTGATTTGCAGCTGAAATACATTCAACCTGTGATTTGTCGCATAGCTAAAGATTACAGAAAGAAGAATTAAGACACATTCCCTTAAAATAGCAAATATCAAAGTGAGATATTGAACACCAGGGCTTTAAGTCAGCGCAAATAGTAATGTAGAAAAATTGATTTTAAAATTCTAATTTTTGACATGCCTTCAGTGAATCAATTTGCAGACTGAATAATTTTGGTGGGTATAAAACATTCCCTTATTATCTGCTGGATGAAAACATCTTATGGAAGCAATATTAATGTGGAATATTCCGTGGTTTTTTCCCCTTCCAATTTGGCTCTTGGCTAGAACTGTGACTGCAGAGTTCATAGATGCAAGGTCATCTGGCTGTGACAAATTGCGCACAGAGCAGAATGTTGGGCTCTAAACTTACTTTTATTTTACAAAAAAGGTTGCAGTCTTGTGTCCAATGACTATTAGGCATATCATAATACAATATTCATGATTTCATAAGCAATACTATTAACTTCCTGCTGCCTTTTTTTGTTGCTAAACAGGGCAGAGGATTAACATCTGCATAGATGTTCACACTAAGATAGGCATTAAGTCACGCTTGTAGATGTTTGCATATTCTGTTTTGAGACCGAGCCAGTTTCTTGTCAGTAGTAAGGTGGACAAAACTCTACAACACTATTAGGCTTAAAAAGTGGGACAATTTGCTACTTTGCTAATGTACTGTTGGCTCCATTTAAAAACATACAAACCTAGAAATGAGTGATCATGCATAGCTGGTTCTGCAGGCAAGTTGGTTCAAGCTGTGTATTTTGCTTTTTCAGCTCCCCTTGAGGTTCAATGATAACTTGGTGCTTAGACAACTGCGGTACACAGGCATGCTTGAGACCGTACGCATCCGACAGTCAGGATATAGCTGTAAATATTCTTTCCAGGTGAGATTATTCTTCCTTGATTCCCTGAAAGATTCTAGTATAAAGAATCTGAAAGCAGGGGAATTGGCTGGATTTAATTAGTTTTGTTTGTTTATTTTTTTTAAATAAGACCTTAAGAAATATATGCCCCAAAAAATCCAACCTACTTCCCAATTTACAGAGTTGTGCGTGACAGTATGTCTTGTGAGCTGCCTCAGGCTATTTGTATTTCTTCAAGATTTAAGGGACATTTTCTTTTATGTTTGTGTATTGAAAAGTTTTATATACAGTTTGCTAACCTGATTTCCTTTCATGTTTGGCATGTGAAGAGTTTATAAATGTAACAATATGGTGATGGTGTGTCTAAATTGCCAGGATTTTGTAGACCACTTCCACGTACTTCTCCCACGAGGCACTGTCCCATCCAAGCAGAATATTGAAGGCTTCTTCAAAAAGACAAAGACCAACTCAGATAGTTTCCAAGTTGGACGAACCATGGTAAGATCCAACTACCGTTTCTGGACAAATTTCAAAGGAGACGGGGAATGTTCTTTCCTCATGTGTCCTTGGAAAAAAGTCCTGCTTGGATTTCAAAAATCTTTTTATCATTAGATCCGAGGGATGATTAGAATCAAATTAATCTCTCAGAGCCTGGAAGAATCAGGGTGGGTCTTCTGACGCATGCACAGTTGCAGATGTTTCACTGGGGGGAAAAAAGCATGTGTCAGGGTTCCAAGTAACACACCCAACAGAATCAAAACTCCCAAGGCAGGCATATTCCTCAAAGTATAGATTTATTAGGCATGTCATATTGGCACGTCTGGGGAAACCCGACTCTAACCCCCCCCCTCGGGTTTCCCCTTGGTTAAAAGTAAAGGTTTTCCTCCCCCTGCCCATGCAGTCCATCACATGGTCCAATCCAGCCACAGTCCAAGGGTCACTTGGTCTCAGAACCCAGCTCCTTGCACCTGGTGGGAAAGTCCTTGGTTCTCAGAGGAAAGAATTTTATTTTGGCTACAATCCCCTAGCTATCTCTACCTCCCCGTGTTGTGGTCTGCCGGCGGCCTGCGGAGCTGGCAGCAGAGTTGGGACAGTGGGGAGGAACATGGGCCAGTTCTGGAGTCTGGGGAGGGCTGGGATGAGGGATCTGCTTCCGATACAGAGACAGGGACAGGGCCACCTGAGAGTTATGTGCTGACTCTGGAGCCTCCAGAATCTGACATCAAGCAAGGAAGAAAAACAGGGGGAGCCTGTTCCCAGTGCGCGCTTGCGCAGAGCTGCCAGAAGGCAAGAACAGTTAAGACAAAAGGGGCAACTCGGCAGTAAGGCTTGGAGATGATTGGCCCCTCCCATAAGACATAAGGGAGTAGCAAAGGGACAGGAACCTTTGCAGGAAGCAACTTTGTTCGTTCTGGTCAATTTAAACTCTGAAGCTCCATGTTGACTTCGTGCTCCGTTTGGCCCTGTACAGCTAATTGGCAATTTAGTCGTTGGCAGCATTTCCAGGGCGATAAAGGTGGGTGCTTATCAGCCTTATCTCAAAAAGACTGTGGCAGGCTTCTGTTGGACTACTCACAAACTGTTTGGGACTCGTTACGGGCTGGGAATGCATATAATTCACATCTGTTGAACTGAAACAAAAATGGTTTTTGGGAAGAGTGTGTGATTGTTACTGTCTCAGGGAGCCTTGGTCAGAACACGCGCACCCTCCCATTCCCACAGCTTGACTCATCTCCTCTGTGGCAGCCCTGAAGGTGCCAGGAGAAAATGGCTCCAGGGCTGACAGCATATACGTGTGCCAGGTTGCTAATATGCAAAGGGAATGACGTTATTTGTGATTGTCCAATTGTCCATCAGGTGTTCATGAAGGAACAGGGACGACAGCTTTTACAAGGACTGTTGCACGAGGAGGTCTTGCGAAGGATTGTCTTATTGCAGAGCTGGTTCCGGACGATGCTGTACAGGAGGCACTTCCTGAGCATGAGGCAGGCTGCTGTGATCATACAGGTTGGGGCCAGCTGTATGCTGTTCTTAAACCCTGGGGATGTTTCCCTTACGCTCAGCATAGATAACTGTTGACTTTAAACAATACAGTTAAGCTAATTGTTGACTTTATCTTTTTTATGGATTCATACAAGGCACCAAAGCTTAAACCAGCCTCCTTTAGAAGTGGAGAGCTTTATTCAGTGTATTCATACCACATGCAAGAAAATTACTAACTATTCTTTGATTGAACATCTTTCTTCATCCTCGCTGCCAGTATAAAATTCTTGTATGGATTGGTATATACTTCTGTCTGCGTTAAAACACACACTTTAAAATGCCAGTAACCAGTAAACATTAAGACTTTTTTGTAATTCATTGGATTGTCATAATATTAGAAATTAGTACTTAAGCATTAAAAACGAGGACTTAACAAGAACTGTTCCAGCTAACGGCTTCAGATAAAAGCTCATTATTGTGTCAATAAAGTATTTCCCCACCCCCGTTTTTTTTTTCTTTCTTCAAATTCCCCTGGGCAGCGTTGTTGGCGTCATTACCAGAGAAGGAAGCAAGCTGAAACAGAGGAAGACTCCCTGACCCATTCAGCCTTTTTAGAGCAAGCTGCTGTGGTCCTTCAGGCATACTGGCGAGGTTACATGGCCCGGCGAAGGTTCCAGCAGATGCGGATTGCGGGTTTCATTCTCCAGAACTCTTGGCGGGACTGCCTAAGATGTAGGCATGCCGCAGCAACCTCTATCCAGGCGCACTGGCGGAGCTACCGCACGAGGACTCTCTACAGAGCCAAGAGGAGCAAAATCATTTTGTTGCAAGCCGCCTACCGAGGCTACAAAGCACGGCAGAGGTAATGCATGCCCTGTTTTGGGGGGGACATCCGCGTCCAAATGGAAGAAGACCTTGGGAGTTATTGGGACTGTATGAATGATAACAGAGATATTTAAATGGAACAAAGAAGTTTAATTCTTTATGATCATATTATGATGATGCTGCATAACTTAGCTCTTTTACCTAGCTACAAAACTTACAATTATTGGTTCAGTGCCCTCTAATAATTTGGTTTACAATATGGTAAACCTCTTATCTGGATTCATACGTATATCACTTGTTCACCATGGTATGTAAAAGAAACTGCTGTTTCCTTAGTACAGCAAGCGATATCTTATGGCTCATAAATCATAATGGCTAGATTCACAAATTGTAGTCAGCCCAAATCACACACAGGTATATTATTGCTTAGCACATGAACATAGCCCCTGTAAATAAAGATTTGAGGGCAGAGCATGCTTCAAACAGTTAAACATACACTTTGCACCTGGGAATTCCCATGCCTTCTCTTAACATTTCTAATTAAGGGTTCATTTACAGTTCTAAAGGGAACATGAAGTTGTAAGTTACCAAGTTTCCATAATCATCTGCATTCAACATGTGTGGACTGCAACTTCTCCAGTTAACCAATATAATAGGCCTTTTCGAATTTAGTTCAACCACCACAATCATCATCTATCGTGTGTGAATGAGGATTGTGATCCACATAGTCTCCCCCAATCTTGATATAATGGCCACTGTGGTTGGAGAATCCTAGGAGTTGCTCATCTGAAAGTACTTAAGCTGAGAAAGAACTGGGTTAATAGATAATACTAAGCTATGTGTAAAGCGTCACCACTGCAGTAAATCCTGGTTTAAAAACAATTAGAGTCAATTGTTGCCTTTGGAAAACCACACTAGAACAGAAAAAAAAGATATAACCTTTTTCTTGATACATGAGAATAAGTATGTTCCATCATCAGGAGGACTGTGGGACGTGCCAGTGTGAGTACTAAAACATTCAAGTATCTTTATGCATATTTGATGCTTTCTATTTTATTAGCGGAAATAGAATGGGACGTTAATGGGAAAAGGTCAAATGAAAAGAAGATTGACAAATTTGTGGTCATCCTAACTGAGCTCTTTCTCCACCTATTCTTCTTTAAACAGGTTTACCAAGCTAAGAGAGCAGCGATTGAGTGAAGCATCACTAAAGAATAGACTAACAAGTAATGATGATAAATTAATACTAGGGTATAACTCAGATATTGAGGGTCCAGACCCTTCTAAATGGGAAGACAATTCCTTTGAAAAGAAAACCGTTGAAGACTATGCCTCATTTACGGACAATAGAATAGATCCATCAAATTCGTTACACAAACATCATGAGAGGGCCAACAGCCAGAGCGGAATGAGCGTGGAAGAGGAAGTTCTTGTAAGAGAAAGACCAAAGTCCCTGGAAGATCTCAACCAAAAAAAAGGAGTTCGTGCAAAGCGAGAGAGCCGGCGGATGCGGGAACTAGAACAAGCCATCTTTAGCTTGGAGTTGCTGAAGGTTCGATCCACTAGTGGAAGTTCTCCATCAGAGGAGCACCAGTTGTCCCCTGACTTTGCCTCTGAAGGGATGTCCTCTCCTCGAAGAACTCCAGAGAGTAAAAGCTCTCGCGGAAGTCTAGAGAAGTTAAACCAGGACCCCCTCTCGCCTCTGGATCACAGTGTATATCTCAAAGAATCACTACAAGATAGCCCGAAATTTGAGGATGAGGATGAAGATGAAGAAGAAGAAGAAGAGACCTCCAAATTTGCTGCTGCTACTATAAATAAAACTATGACAGAGAGAAAGAGGTCAATCTCAAGTTCTGAATTACTTGACTGCCTTGCTGTTAAAGAGCGGTTGTCAGTTTGTCACTCTTACGACATTGCTTCCAACAAGCACACAAGAGAATCATTAATTTCTAGTAGTTTGCCTACATTTTATCTTCCGCCACAGGACAAGATGAAAGTTGGCCATTCAGTGAGGGACAATAATCTAAGAAACAAACAAATGGAAACAGGGAGCAATTTCTTTTTCCCAGACACCAAAAGAAATCCTCCACTGGAAAGGACCACACAGAGCACAGCCTTACATGACAATGGTCAGATGACCAGCGGTGGAGAATTCCCAGCTGTTACAGCTACAGAAATGCACCTCTCGGACACAGTTATTGAAAAGTTGGAGAAGTTAAATGTTGAGAAAGAAGAACGCCGGAAACGAAAACAGATGCAGAACGAAAAAGAGATGATGGAGCAAATACGACAGCAGACGGAAATTTTGGAGAAGCAGCACAAAGTTTTTGAAGAGCTTCAGAGACAAGAGAATGAACAGAGTAGGATTCGGGACTCCGGCCATGGAACTCCTCTCACCTCACCAAAGAAAACGGACAGTGGCCCACCTCTAGTCATCGGCCATCCCCAAGTCAAGGAAGAACTAAAACTTGCAACAAATGCAGAAGCCACCTCCTCGGTGGTCCTTAGATCTCCTACGGGCCCCCCAAGAGGAAGTCCCCCCGTTTGCCAGGCAGCCCCGGTGGGAAAAATCCCAGAGAAAAAGGAAGGTCAGACTCCGGTCGTCCTGGAATCTGTTGGAACAGATTGGCTGAATTTGCAAAGGGATACCGAGTCTCAGAACAGTGTCAGCAATCTTCCTGCCAGGGAAAAACGGTTCAGACTGCCTCGAATTCCTAGCCAGGGCAAGGAAGGCTCTTCTAAGGACACTAGAGTTGGTTCCATGTTCTTTTCACCAAAGGATGCTCATTTGGGCAATACGTGAGTACAGTAATGGGTACTTGTATGTTACTTTTCCATAAGAGTGCGACTTGGATCTTCCTTGAAAATAGCAGCCTTAAAAGAAAATGGAGGGTTCTCGGAGTGTCAAGGCTTCATAGCAAGCATGGATGTCAATCTGAATCTTTCCCTCCCTTTTCCCCTTCCCTCTTCCTCTCCCTCCCTCTCTCTCTCCACACACACACATGAAATCTGCTCTATATTTGTCACTGATAAGAGTGTTTGTAGCTCAGGATGGAAATGAAGGGTCCTTGGTACTCTCTGAGCTTGGTTGTTTTCTTGCAGACATTTCATTACCTATCTAGGTAACATCATCAGGGCTAGGAAGTTCCTAGTTTGGGTAATGAAAAGTCTGCAAAAAAAACAGCCAAGCTCAGAAACCACCAAGGATGCCTCATATTTATGTCAATCCCAAGGTTCAGATCCTGGGTCTCTTCCTCGTGTCTTTTCAAGTTAACAGAGTTTGGGCTGTTTTTTTTCTTCTTCTTCTTCTTGGCCTTGAATTTCTCTCCCATCCATCCAATGTTTACAAAATAGGAATTCCCGCTTTGCTGGCTTTACATCTTACAAACAAAAATATAAATACGAGAGTTCAATTGAATTCTCAGCAAAGTACGTATAAGCTATGTGTGCAATGTCTGATTCCTTTAAGTTCAAAACATTGAACTTCCCATTCCCCAGAAGACGATTGAACCAGAGAAGCGGTAAAATTACAAGGCACTATCTTTGCTGTTCTAGGGAAACCCAATACAAGATGCGGTTTACAGGATAGGAAGTTGATCACTGCTTTCCCATGTTAATAACTTTTGGCTATGTATAGTCTACCGCAAATAAGTTTTACAGTCGTTTTGTTTTTTAGGGATAATAAATCTTCAGCACCTCCGCTTCTTCCAAAAGAAGATCAGAAAAAGCCACTGAAACTTCCCAGAACAGATAGAGGAGAGGTAAGAAACCGTTTTTGTTTCCAGCAGCAAATCGCTTATTTCTCCCAGCTATCTCCCCAAACCATCAATACTGTTAGCATGCAGTGATCTTCACGAAGGAATATAGGGTCTTATCAGCTGGAAAGCAAATGTAAGATTAAAGAGTGCTACACCGCAATACTTTTCTTTCTTTTTTTTTTTGCATTTTGAACCTGTTTCTCAGCTATACACTTCAGATTGTAGGCAGGGGTTCCCATGATTGAGTGTTTTCAAACAAGAAAACAAGGGAGAATCTAGTCGCATATTTTCTCTCTGGCATCAAGATTACTTAGATTTTGTGCCGGGGTGAATCTCCCCTGGCATTTTAAAGTGCAACTCAGCCACACTTCACCGAGGACCAGGTCCATGTTCTGTCTGAACTGGCTCATCATCGAAACAATATAAAGGCAATTAGAGCATCATTTCTACTTTTCCCATATGTGGTTCCCCCCCCCCCCACCCCCCATTTCTGCTGTCCTTGTTTGTTGAGGTCCAACTTAGCACGTCGTTTAAACAAACGATGCCCTTGGAATTTTTTTTTTTTTAAACCCCTTATGGTTCCATGTTCCTTATCCTTTGACTTGTGTGGTGGTTGGTTTTATTTTTGTTTTCGTTCGTTTGTTCGTTCATTTCACATCATCTGTTTTATCATTTGGTGTCAAGCAGGTTGCTCGACCAGTCCATAGAAAGAAAGCCCGCATGGCACGGACACGCTCGAATTTCTTGACTAGAGGTGCTTTTGCTGATTGGGAGGGGGATACAGAGGAAGAGGATTGTGATGACAATCTTGAATTCCTTCTCTCCTTTGAGCATCCACCTCACCTTGAGCCAGGTTGTGCAGTCAGGCTCGGGCAGCCCTGTCATAGTGACTCTGAAATGGTAATATACTCCACAAGCAGTGGTAGTGCCGGGGGGGGGATTTCTTGGCTAACTGTCAGCAGAACTGTCACCTTCTACTGCTGTTTCTCCCATCCTGTAAGGCAGGAGTGTCAAACTCGATTTCACTGAGGGCCACATCAAGTTTGTGTTTGACCTTGCGGGGAAGGGGGGAGGCGGGCATGGCCAGTTTGATGTCACTCATGTTAGGGGTGCCTGTGGCGGCCCGAGTGTTCTGCCAGCGAAAACGGGCTCCCAATCTCCGTTTTTGGCTGGGACGGCTTTCTGCAGCCCTCTGCCAGCAAAAAATAGAACTTGGGAGAACCTCTGTTTTCACTGGCAGGGGTTGCAGGAGACCATCCCAGTCAAAAACAGAGATTGGGAGCCCGTTTTCACTGGCAGAG